TTTTTTCATTCTGAGATAATGGCAAAAAATGTTTTCCAGTAAATCGAATAGTTAAAAATTAAAAAATTAAAAGCTAAACAATAGATATCATTAAAAGAATGTTTAATACAAAAATTTGAAAACCGTGCTCTTTTGATCTTATTTTTATTACAAAATGAAAAAAAAGTTTAAAAAAAAAAAAAAGATTTAAAAAAAGTTTCTGGTTTTGCATGTCAATTAATTTTTTTTTATCTGGTTTTGATCGAAACTTTTTTTCTAACTAGTTTTCAAAAAAGCTTTATGAAGTCAACTTAACTCGTGGCGACATTTATATAATTGTTCAAAACGTCCCTCTGCCTTAGAAAATAAGTAATTTTAATGTTTGATATGTTTATAGGATTGATGAAGTTAAAACTCAATTGTAACTGTTTAAATATGGCTTTTATAATTTTAGTGAGTTTTTTTGTATGTAATTTTTTTCTTAAATAACTTTCTCCAGTTTTTTAAAACGTTTTTAAAACAGAATGTTGATTAGATAAAATTTTTGTCTTATTTTGGATGGACAATTTTTTTTAGCTGGTTTTGCACGGACTGAATAATTTAAGGCAGGTAAAATGTTATCAAAATAGTGGCTTTTAAATTTAACTTTTATTTGTAAAGATGTAGGAATATTAGTACTACAAAAACATTGCAAAGTCTTTTTTTTTTTAAAGTAACATCTGGTTTTTTAACTCCACTCCTTAATTAAAAAGTAAAAAATATAAAAGATTTGCAAAACAGATTGCAAAAAACAGATTTGCAAAAGTTACACGAAGTAACTTTTGCAAATCTGCAAAAAAAGGTCTGTTAAGCCAACACCGATTTCAATTCAACCGTCAAATGTTTGTGCTGAACGTGTAATTAAAGTCATAAAGGATTCACTTTTATAGTACTAAAGTATTGAAAAACATAACATTAAGTTTCTTTTGATAAATAAGCACTAAAAGCCAGTATCTTTGTATATTTAATGTCATTTTTAGTACTTATAAAATTTGAATTAGAGAGTGGCATTTTATAAGAACTGGTAGTGTTTTAACTATAGTCATATCCCTAGTATTTAGGGAGAGTGTCCTAGAAAGAGCCGATGCGAAATCTCTGACTTCGACCATAATTTTATTTTTCTCTAAGTAGAACTGTAAACTATTTGCGGATGACAGATTTGTCGTGTAGCCATACAGACTAAAATACAATTATGGTTGAATGCCGGCAAGTTAGAAATAATCGCATCAGCTCTTTCGTAGACACTCTTTCCCATACATGGATAAATATATCGCAAGAAATACTTAGACTTCTTTAGCTGTACCGTAAACCTTAGTTAGTTACTTTAAACGTTTTTGAGATATTATTACTTGCCGTTCCTTCACTATTGACAGTAATTGAAATTTAATAAAATGTATACATGGACTAAGGTTGACTCTTACATAATTCGAATTCAAAATAATATCTAAATAAAATGCTGATCACCTTTTGATCTGACGAATTTAATGTTTATAAGTAAATAAAGTTAATAACAATAGAGATTTTTTGTAATTGCCAGTACTTTTACTGAACAAGAAGTTTTCGATTGATTATGTATTTTCCTTTAACACTTTTTAGGCCCATAAAGAGCAACATTAAGAGGTTTCAATGAATGGGTAGAGTTACCAGTTATAGAACAAGATACTGTTTTCTTCACAGCAAGATACTATTTTCTTTAGTTAATTCAAGTAGGGTAGAATTGCCATAATTGAAAGAGCACCTTAATTGGAACACTTCTATTTTTTTTTTGAAAAAAAAAGAATTTAAAAATACTTAATAACAGTTATAAACCTTAAAAACTAATACTTTATTTAGTGATTTTTAATCAATAAATTAAGAGAACGTCATGACAGTTGAAACTTTAATACAATATATTGTTTATTATTTTTTCTTTTTTCAGCTTACTAAGTTAGTCGTTTTACAATACAATAAACTATTAAAATTACTTTACAAATATATATATACAAATCGTGATAACAGTGTAAACTAGGTTTCCGAAAGAAGATCACTAAGATCTTATCATCGGAACCTCAAAAAACATTTATAAACAATATAATTTACGAATACCTTGTAAAGTATACGTTACAGTAAAGTAAAATATATATATAGAACTTTTACATTAGCAAATCTTTAAATATAAATAGTTGTTAACAACAAAACTTTAGGGAAAAAATAATAAAAAGTTAAATAATAGATAAATTAATTAATAGTACTCTAAAATGTTATCGAGGGAATTATCGTTTATAAACTTTGTGTTTGCCAGGGTAATATTAATCCTATTATAGGTTTTGAATATACTGTTTAAATTTTCACTATAAAGATAAAAATCATTTTTAATCAATTTTTGTTGATTTTACTAGGTTTTTTTTAAAAAAACAAAGTAAAATCAACAAAATTTGATTAAAAATGTCATCTAAATCAAAGTGTTCCAATTTAAGGAACCAGTCTAATTCAAAGATGTTCCAATTTAAGGAACCACATCTAAATCAAAGTGTTCCAATTTAAGGAACCAGTCTAACTTCTTTAGTATATATTGATTGCAACAAAATGGTAGCTTTGCAAAAACAAATTTATTTCCAACAACAGTGCAATCAATTTAGTCAAATTATGGTTAAAAGTATAATATAATGTTATCATAGTTAAGCCATCTTTGGTTAATAAATATTTATTCCTCAAGTGTTCCAATTAAGGTAACTCTCTCTTATCCCTTACCTTTTCACTGAAAAGATTGCTTAGACTATAACTATAAGGAATTTTAGTTCCTGTAATTTGACAAAAAAATAACAAAACAGTCAAAAAAACGAATAGAGTTAAACTGTACTGACTTCGATTGTATTGTACATTATGTGGTTCACTTTCGGTTCTTGTTCTCCATAAATGGTCAGCTTTGTAAACGTGACCAGAGAACATTTAATCAGGGTCACTAAACATGATTGACGTAACATAACATGTTGTGTAATTGCTAATTTTTGCATATTTGTAAAAACTATGGATTTTCCATGTGCTTTTGAATAAAAAATTTAAACCTTATCAAACGAAGTGGTAACTTGCACGCAGTGAACATCTAATAATTTTTTGTATGGTAAACTAATAAATTCAGCTACCATAACATTTGAAAATTGGACTCATTATAATTTATATCCTGCCTTGTAAAACAAATTAATAGATGAATAACAGTACTTTAAACAAATTTAATTTAACAAAATATTAAATGTACACACATATTATATGACATTTTTTATACAAGATTTAAAACTTAGTGTTTTGCAAAAAAAAGTATATACACATAGAAACACACACGCACACACACAAATATTTCGAATAATTTTTTCTTTTTAAATATCAGAAATATTTAAATCATTTATAAGAAACAATAGCAATAAAGCGTGTAGACGAAATAAATTTGAAAGTAAAAAAACAACTAAAAAAAAGTACTCTTCAATTTTTATTTCCAACCAAGTAATAACTTTAATACAATAATATAAGAAGGTCAAGTATATATATAAAAAAATCAAATTATTTATGTGGGAATCTAATAAAACTTCGAACTTTTGCTTTGGTGGTACCCAAAAGCTTGTGCACAGAATAAGAAATGAAGCCATTTGATGCTTTTTTAAATGATATTTTAATATCTTGAATGTTTCTGCAAAGTTTTTTTTGTTTTTTTGTTTTCATTTTTCTTTTAATAATGGCCCAGTACTTTTCAATAACTCTTAATTCTGGACAGTTTAGAGTATTTTCTGTTTTAGGCACAAATTTTACATTATTATTTTATACCATTCCAAAACTAGTTTACAATAATGAATTGAAGCTAAATCTGGCCAGAAAACAGGTCTCCGATCGTGTGATTTAATAAGGTAAAAGGCGCTTTTGTAAACATTTTTTAACATATACTTGACTCGAAAGTGTGGACTGAGAAATATAAAGTGCTGATTTTTTTTGCCACAACTGCAAATAGTTTGCCTAATCAAGACTTTTTTTAGCAAACTTGTAATGTTTTATGCATTTAAATTTCTGATTTGCTTTTCCTCTACATTTGGCAATATAATAAACGGCACCAGGAATTTGCTGATGATCGTACTTGATATAAGTTTCATCGTCTATAAAAAAAAAATTGTTATACAACTTTCTGCAGCGGATTTTTGCACTTTTTTGTTGAGTTTCAGATTGGTTGGGCACTTTTTGTGCTTTAAAAGAACAAAAACCATGTTTATTTCGAACTTTTACAACAAAACTATGAGAAAGTCCATAAATGTTTGCACGCTCAGTGAAAGGGTTAGCCTTAAAACTGTTAACTAGTTTTTTATCTTTATAACCCTTTTTTCTTCCACCACCAGATTTACGTTTGATCGATTTTGTTTTGAGAAAAACGTTGGATTACAAACAATGGATGTATTTGCAACGCTTTTGCTATCGAATTGTAGCTAATATTGGGATTTTCCAAATATTTGTACATAATTTTTTCTCTTATGTCTTCTTCTTTTGTCATTTTTAAAACTAATTTTAAGTTAAATCAAAAAAATAATACATTTTTTTGAAAAACATGTTATAAACAAAATACAAAACAATTGAAAAGATTTTAATATAACCACTTAAAAAAATTGACTAACTTATTCTTTCCTATTTATTTCGTGTAGACGCTTTACCTATACCAATACCAAAGCAATAACAATGCCAATAAACAAAGAAAAACTTTAAATAATCAAAATACAAACTATTTTTGATACTTTGATGTTTAAGGTTCGAAGTTTCATGTAAATTCTTGTCATAACTGCAAGCAAATTGTGGTTGTTAGTTTTGAAAAATTTTTTTGAAGAAAATACCACTAATAATAATTGCATAATATTCAAGTATAATACCACTTAAAGTTTTAAAAACTCAAAACTTTAGGTGGCATTAGTTTGAGTAAGTTAGTCTAAACTATTTATTTCATTACTTTTTTTAGGTATCAAAAAACAATAACGGTATCTGTAAAAATATATTTCAATAGAACGGTAAATCAAATATTTAACAAAAACAATAATTATATACAAATAAAAGAAACTAAATATATATTAAATAGCAGATATTTTAAAATAATGCAAAACAGCATGATTTTTAATACAGACTTGTTTTTTTCATAACTCTCAAAAATTCCGCTTCGTTAATTTCACCGTCACCGTCACGATCAGCTTCATCTATCATTTCCTAAATAAAGATTTAACATTTTGAAAAATTATAACAATTTACCACCTTTTAAATATAGTAAGGCCAGCTAACATTTGAGGTCGGAGCTAAAACGTTGACGTCGAGTCTTTTTTAGACTTTCAACAACGGTTATATTTGTTTAACTAATACTAGATTCATTTGAGTAACTGTTTTATAACAGCATGTGGTACCTGCTTTGTTGTTTTTATTTGATTTAAAATAAATGTTAACTCATTTGATGATTTGAATTTGTGGTTGACAATTACTTTCATCTCTTTATAGACATCAATTTTATTATTTTTTGGTTTTCTCTTTATAGACATGTCTATAAATATATGTTTCTTTAGAACTACATGGATATTGTTTTTTATTTGTTTTGATAGTTTGTATTTAATTTTTATATTATTATATAATCATTTATTTCATTTTTTTAAGCACTTTAATGCAAAAAATAATTTAAAGAAAGGATTTTTTAAGTATTGTTACTATAACAACAGAATACGTTTAATATGTTCCATAAAAGTTCATACATTATTGAAAATAACTGACGGTAGACAAGATAAAATTAATCACCAATAAAATTATAGAAAGCTGCTATACAAGGAAGAATAAATTTTGTAGCATGATATATTAATTATTTAATAATACTATTCCAACAATTACTAAGGAGAAATAATTAAATTTTTCAGCCTTGTGGTGTTAAGAAATTTTTTGATAAAACATATATTCTATGTTGCCATAAAAAAAGGACAGTTTGGCGTAGATTTTCACCAATTTTGCAACAGTTACAGGAATTACATACAGAGTGTTAGGGAGATTAAAATGTTAATGGTAATTTTTTTAAAATAAATTAAAAATTATAGCGCTTGTCTTGCTTTCGCTTCACTTATAGCTAATGCAGTTAAACAAATGAATCATGTGTCACAATGTTTTAGAATGTCTGGTCAAGTATTTTATTGCTAGTAATCTTAGGCCAGATATTCTTCCAGCATATTTTCTACTACATATCTACGATCTACTTGCAAGCAGTAAATTTTAGAATGTAACTCTCTTTACTAAATATAGTTTACAAACTATAATTAGTGAAGAGAGCCCATTTAATAACGTGGCTGAAATGGAAGGTGAAGAAATTTGTCAAACAGCTATATAAGATCACTTACTTTCCACAAGAAAATCTCTTGAATGATCAGACATACTGCATTTTTACATAATAAAGTAGCAGTGTTGTCAAAGATTGTGCTCTGCCTGCTTCCCTGCCATTCTTATTTACCCAAGAGGTGCTTGCTAACTTATATAGTATTACATGGTTATATAATACTAACTTATATTCTGCAGTTTATGCAGTATTTTTCCCAAGAGATGCAGGTTGGGAGCCAGTTGATGCACAACTTTAAATATACTAGATTGGTTAGGAATCACATTACATTATTCTAGTTCTATAATTACAGACTTTCAATTCAACAATTTTTTTGTTCAATATTTTATAGCAGGAAACATTTTCAGCTATATATAGTTGATCCGAATTGAAAACTAGCGTCTTGCCATCAGAAATAACCAGAACATACTGCTTGTTGAAAACCAAGGAGTATGATGCTTTACATGTAAACAACTTTTTTTTAATTTTGTATAAAACTCTTTCTAAAATCTGTCCCTTTGTATCAACAGAATACAAAACATTATATATATATATATATATATATATATATATATATATATATATATATATATATATATATATATATATAATGTTTTGTATTCTGTTGATACAAAGGGACAGATTTTAAAAAGAATTTGGCAAGAGATTGGCAATATATAGATCATATATGATCTATATATTGCCAATCTAGGGCAATATATAAATCATATAGTTAATGAGAAGAATTTAAAAAAGTTAATATATATATATATATATATATATATATATATATATATATATATATATATATATATATATATATATATATATATATATATAAAGGCTTGGGGAAGGCAATAATATCAAAAATTTGAATTGATTTTTTTTTATAAGACACGTATTGATGTATATTTTCAAATAAAAAGAGTAGTTTGCCAACTTTTGCTGTTTTTTTGTGTTAAATAGTGTTAAAAATCACAAAAAAATGAATTATTTTAACGTGTATTATAAGAATGATGAAATACTTTGTTTTACACTTTTATTTTGTTTCTAATCAACTATTTTCTTTTTCTTTATTATTTCATTATATTCGTATGGCCATAACAATTTCACTTGTTTAGATAAAATAAAATACTTATTGC